AAAAAAAAAAAAAAAAAAAAACAGCAATCTAAAGTTTTACAAATCCCAGAATCAGGCAAGATTTCATATTCAAGTAGCTCGAATCAATTTCCAGTTCTTCTTATTCATTGTAACTTTAGATCCTTCGAAAGGGCAGACAAAGGGTCAAACATATATTCTGAACAGTAAGCCAGGTCTGTTATTTTATTTTGTAAGTATAAAAAGACATAAGTTAGCAATCATCATCTAACAGAGTAAGTGGCACATAGTTAAATTCAACAGTTACTGAACAGGATGAAATTTATCATTCATGTCTACACCCAGGAGTACACCTTTTTACTCATGTATATGCCTCAATGATGATACAGATGAAAACTGTGCAATATAAATCACTATCCCAGATTCTCCTCTCGCTTCCTTTGACCAAGATGTTCCTTCCTCTAGTACAGAGGTAAGAAAGTAACGGGAGAGAACCAAAATGTACTTCATATATTTCCAAGAGAAGGTAGCTGAAATAAGGACCATCAGCCCCACCACTAGGTTCTAGATTGAACTGTGTGCTGAGTTAGAACTTCTTACTCTGACCTGGGGCATCAGGATAAATACTGGATTAACTAAGGGTTAATAATATCTAATCCTGAGCTGAAAAAATTGTTTTTTATCGATCTCTTCAGCCTTTTAAATTAACCAGTATGCACAGAGGTCCTTAAGAGTGGGTATGATCCTGGGTAGGATTATAAAACTTCTAAGGCACTCTGGGCCAGAGTCTCAACCCTGAGTTACGTTACTAGAATTAAAAACTACATGGTTCTGAGTTTGCAGAGAAAAGGGGCAGTGAAAATGGCTGCCTGGGGCTCACTTCCTCTGACTACCTGCCGTATGTGTACTTTCCTGTTAAAACAGGTGTCCAGCCTCATTGCATTTGGTTAACCACATCTCTCTTTTGTTGGTTATTTTCCAAGCAGAGAAATTACCTCAATCACAACCTATATCTCTCACCCTGAAAGGAGTCACTGCAAGTTCCTGTGACAAAAAAAAAAAAACAGGAATGTGGCCAACTTCTGACATAGAAGCAAGCCAAATCACCTAATGCTTACAAAGTAAGGCCAAATCAAGGTTTCATGGGACATGCCAGGTAACTGGCTTAATACCGTGTTTAGTGCTTCTGTTCTACCTCCTACTTCATTGCGGAGTGCCTCGGGTCTTAGAAGCTCGAAAGTAGACTTCCAAGGTTCAACAATTAATTGGTCTCTATTTACCTGGAGCAACAAAGGAAGAGGAGAGTCAGGAATAGTAAGAGGAAATGGAATTCACGACTAAGTGCCTCCATGAACAACTGCCTACTTTGCCATAAGACCAGAACTGAATGGTGACCAGCTACCATTAGTCAACATTTTGATCAAAGATTTGACAGAAGAAAATCTTGATCAAAAGGTGTAAAATGTGGATCAGAACTTCAGGTCCACATGGAATTCAGACTTTCTGGAGCCATTGAGGCTAGATGAATCCTGAAATCAGTGCCCTAAAATAATCTCTAAACTTTAAACCAAAAATATCCTCTGAAGTATTCTTTAAATCAAACAATAGTTTTGCTTAACTAGTAAAGAATGTCTGCCTTGAGCATTGTGCTCTTTTAAGAACTATTTCTGTGGGATCAAACTGACAACAGCAACTCAAAAGATAAGATAAGAAACTTAGGTGGCAGTGAGTTTATGTTAATGGGCAAGAAGAATTCAGAAAAGGAGGGTGAGAATAGTTGCACAACTTAAAGAATGTAATCAGTGTCACCAAATTATACATGTAGAGACTGTTGAACTGGTGTATGTTCTGCTGTGTGTATTTTCAACAACAAAAAATAAATTATTAATTAAAAAAAAGTAAGGCCAAAGAAACAAAGCATAAAGCTGGAATCCTATACAGAATACCATGCCACAATAAACAGAAAACATCTACTTGCATAAATGAAATATTCACAAATACCAGGTTAAGCTGCCTGAGGAAAATGCCATAAAAGTGGTATTAAAAACAAGATAGGAGACAATGAAAATAGACAATTTTAAGAGAAATGAGACTAAGGCATGCAAGATTTATGATCTAAAAACTACATAGAAGGTATAGAAAGTACTAAATAGAAAAAGTAGGGAAGGTAAGTTACATGATGTAAAATCCAAAAGATATAAACATCTAAGAAGGGCATTTTTATATACCTTTAACAGCCTAAAATTGGACAGTCTTTTAAGTTAGAGTTGGACTCATAATTTTCAAAAAAAAAAAAAAAACAGAGAGAGATACAGTATATCACACAAGACCCATTTTTTGTCATAGATTTTTGATATTCTTAAACCATCTTATTGAGGGACTAGCTTTTTAAAGGATTACTTATTTTGTTAAATGCATAACTTGTTCTTACATATTTTTTTAAAAACTATGTAGTTATATATATAAGCCCAGTTACAACCTATATTATGACAAATAATCTTTTAAAAAAAAGTGATGATCACGAAAGAAGTATAATGCAGGGAAAGTTTAACAAGCAGAAATAAGATAACTCAATAGGATGTAGGTGTGGAAAGTATAACAACGTCTGGGAGAAAAGCAAAAAGCTAAGGTGAAGTTTATTATTCCTTCTTTTCTGGGAAAACACCTATCGATTCTCACCATCAGCAAGTGAAGCCAGTAGGGCAGGAAATGACAGCAAATTCAATGGCCCATGAAAGGACTAGAGATACTGAATAACAGAGTAAGTGGCTAGAAAACTGATCTAAAATCAGAATAGGTTTCACTTCAAGATTTAGCTCTCAGAAGAATAGAGATTAAAAGTCTATTAGTTTACACACATGCAATCTTAAAAAAACCGAAAAGGCACATTAGCATTAAAATTTGAATAGATCTAAACATGAGTAATAGCTCCGAAAAACTGACATTTCCAATGACAGTCTACTTCAAGGACGACTTAAAGAAAACTACAAAAATGAAATCGAACTTCGCTGTGAAAAAAATATAAAGGTGGTATCAATTGGCACCCTTTTATAGAATGTTTGAATGTTAATATTAAATTCAAGTTTATCATTAAAAAGTGTACATTATTTCATGGTCCTACCAGTTTAGATTATACACTTCTAAGAAGATGACTATCCATTAAGTTGAAATTGCTACTAAAGAGAGAGAAGATGAGACGGAACCCTCAGATGGTTTTGTGAGGTTTTTGCCTTACTTTTGTAAATACACAACTGTAAGGGTAATGTCCTTAGTTTAAAAAATAAAAAAAAAACTTTATTACACAAATATATTGCTTTTATACTGGTACTTGAGATATGCTTAAATGTCTGGTTAATCAAGACACTTAAAGATGAAGAAGTGCCTGTTTTATAGCCACCAGCAATGTTCTTTACTATTTTCTCACTGGGCAAAATAGAAGCTGCATGCATCAATCCAGTTCATGAGAAGTATTTGTTGACATACACTGCAAGAAGGAATATGAAACATAAAATTGACTATTAAATGGAAGTAAGTAGGAACACCTTGAGAAAAATAATAACCTGATAGTAACTTTTTAGCATTATATTTAACTAAACCAAAAAACAGATAAATATGTAATATATATATGACATACATGGATGCATGTCATATGCATTTAACATATATTTTTGACATACATACATATGATGTATGTCATATATGCATTTAATATATATGTTAAAAGATACAATTTTAAACATTTTAAAACTTTACACCTAAGTAAAGGTGACTTTGTGACTTTTAGTTATATTTCCTGGCCTATTATTCTATTAAGTGTTAGTAACGCTTTACAGCAGTGGGATAAAATAAACCTGATGATAACATCAAAATATAAACAGTTCTTTACACAGAACCACTGGTAATTGATTAAGGTGTGGTATTAAAATACATTGGGGCTCTTTTCCTAAGGTTGCCTCTCATACACCTCTCATATACCGAGCCAGAAACTCACTCTTCTTCCTGTGGTCCTGTGTTTCTCAGTTTGCTAATTCTATTTTCTCCCTTAAAAGTAAGAAGCACCAAATATAGAGAGATAACAATAATGTTTCTGCTAATAACTGTTCCTGAAATGTATGGTCAAGAGGATCACTCTGGGATTGAAAGAGTCAGAAAAGCCTTTACAGATTTTTCTTCTAAAGAACACAGGATCCAAAAAAAAAGGGTAGAAACACAGAAGACAAGTTTCTCTGTTCCCATTTAAGTAATGCATCAAAACTTTCATTGAAGACA